AAATTGCCAAACTAAATCTCGTACAGAAAGCTATTAACCTCTCCACGAAAACTGAATCATCTACTTCTGATCAACAAAAGCCTGAAAACAAATCGCAACGCAATGAATCTGCAATAAAGAAAGATTATGATGATGAACAAAACCCTAAAAACGAATCGCGATGCAATGAATCCTCAACAAAGGCAAACTATGAACTGAAAGGTGAACAGAAACCAAGGAAGCCCTGTGCGATCTTTTAATATATATAACGATAATGAGAATTACGAATCGTCTCCCAAAATAAAAGGAAAATTTTTCAAGTTAGTTGGTAAACCGCCCTCTCCAATGCGTCCTTCACAAAGAGCTCTGAAGAAACCAGATAAAGTAGACAAATGTGTAAAGAAGTCGCGTTCGATATTAAGTGAAAAGCATGATTTATTCTATGAAGAAACACCCAAAAATGTAACATTTTCGACAGGTAGGCAACGACCTTTGATAAATCATCATCCGAAGATTGCGTGTCGGTTTCAAACGAATCGTTAACAACACTTTTCACAAAGAGCAAAAGCAAAGTTTCGATTAAAGGATCTCGAACAAAATCTAATGTTGTCGTACGCCATGTAATTGTGAGCTCCAAACGTGATTAATGTTCAGCTATCCGTCTCAATATCTATAAAATAACTCTCATTTGCATTTATTTATAAATAATTTTTGCAATAACTTGATAAATTAATTCTTTGTTTTTCATTTATCGAATTTTATTTGATCGGAAAAATTTACATCGGCAGAGAGTGTAGAATTTTAAAGCAATTACAGCAGCAGCACTTATAGTGAAGTTATGTATCAAAATTTACTGCCCTACTGTCACTGTCTTAATTTATCATAATGAATGAGGCAGGAGCTTAAAAAACTCAACTTCACTTTTTTAAGCTATAATGAAAAAAATTAATTTTTTTTTTTAACTCAAAAGAGGTTTTAAACAGGTGTTTGAAATTTTTTCGCTAAGGAAGGCTTAACTCAGTGCTTGGTCGGACCCTGCACTCCACTCTTTCATTTTCTGATTCTAACTTATCTAACATTATCCAATTAATAAAAAGTGTTTTTTGTTTATTTAAAAGCATTTCCCCGCGTAGCGTAGGATAAACTCAATTCAAAGTGGATGAAAAGTGTGCGATGAAGAAGTTTTTCGCGGAGACAAGGAATGTGGTTTCCTAATTAAAAAAAAATCTCGTGACTTTTTTTGGAAAGTTTGAAAAAATCAAGATAATGTTCAATGAGCGTCGCTATCTGAAATCACCATCTCCCCTTCCAATATAAAATCTTCAAATCCCGAGACTACGACACTCATCACAGATAATATTCCTTCTTATCATGAAATGATCACTGGTTCTAACACTTCCTCTAACTTATCTTAAATGTCTGATCGTATTCAAAAATTACATAATATCCTTCGCATGAGTATTGTTAATCAAAGATCCCTTTCGGGTTTGTACTCCTATTCTCTACCAAACAATAACGAAAATAGCTCAACTTAATTGCACTAGCATCCGTAACAAATTAAAGCAGTTTGAACAACACCTTCATTTTAATAGCATCCCCGTGACCTGTCTTTCTGAAACTTTTCTTAAACCTCATGATTCTTTTTCTATTAAGAATTATAACGCAATTAGATTTGATCGTATCTCCAACAACTTTCATGGTGGTGTGGGGATCCTTATATATAACAAACTTTCATTTTCTTACACTTCTAATTTTGTAAATTGTATGTGTACCTACTGAAGATTGCAGCTGCATAATTCACACATCCTTTGGGAAACTCTTGATCGTTATTTGTTGCATTCCACTTAATTATAATGTTTCTGATTTTGCAATTAACTGGTTATTTTCTTTTAGATCTGACATATCTGCATTGATGATGATTTTAATGCTCACAATGTTTCTTTGTCTTTACATTGTGCCTTTATTTTTGTAACGTGACGAATCATCGGGAAACGTCATGTTCGTTGGGACAGTCGCTTCTCCAATTCAAGATACAGACAAATCCAATATATCTTGAAAGCAGCAAGTTAGTCGTACTAAATAATGGTGATCGCACTCATTTTGATTGCATCTCTTCTTGCGTAGATCCTTCGGTCTGTACACCTTATCTTAGTTCTCTCAGTACCTGGAGGATCCTCAAAGGTACCTTAGGTAGTTATCACTGTGTACTCGAAAGTGGTCTTCATTGACATCCGATTGCCACTCACATACCCATGTTCCAAATTACATCAAAACTTTTTTACTCGTCTATACTATGCGTAAAATTTCAAATACAATCCAAACCAATGACAATCCAGTAAGGAGCACACCGCCCAACATACGCCATTTAACAGAATAGGTACGGTGTTTTTAGTCATTTATTTTCATTTAAGAGAATTGGCGCGGTAGTTTTTCACCTTTTGACTTCGTGTGGTTTCTTTGATAGATTTTCTAAGTCTTTCACTGATACTCTAAACCGAAAGTCTTCTAAAAAATCTTATCCTCCTAATCCTTGGTGAACCACCGCATTCAATCGAGTCATCGCCAAACTTAGACTCGGTATTAATAAATGCAAACGATCTTCTAAAATAAATTTCAAATTTTTGGCCCATATTAGAAAAGAATAAACTTATACTTTCAGGCTGGGAAAACGTAAAGGTTTGAAACAATTTTGTGAAAATGTCAATAGTGACATATTAAACTCAACTCTTTAGCGCACTGTCAAATAAAGCCTCGAAACTGTCGAAAGACTCAGCTCCGGGTTAAGATGGTGTTTGTAACAATCACCTCAAAATCTTGCATATTGAAAACGGATTAACCTTACTAAAAGAATTTAACAAACATTTCAATTGCCGGCTATATATCTTCTTCCTGGTACTACTTCCAAATCTTCACTTTAAGAAAAAAGAACAACACGCCAGGTAATCTTAATGCCTAAAGATGTATTGCCTTAGTTTCCACTCTCAGAAAAATTATCTAGAGAGTGTTATACTCACGTCTAGAATGATATCTCGAGTCCAAACATATCATCACCAATCTTCAATTTGGTTTGAGACGTTACAGATCTGCCCAAGACAACATCGTCACTTTGTGGTCAGCAATAAATTTAACCTTTGCTAAGAACCACATTCTCATTTTACATATTACAGGTCTTCCTCAGGGATCTGTATTGAGTGCTCTTTGTTTTAATTTATATATTAAGAAAATTTTCGGTTCCCTTCCTGAAAACATCGCAATCCTGGGCTATATTCGCGATCTTGTCCTTTTTAGTTCCAACTCTGATCCAGATTTGTGTAGGCGCAATTTGCAATCTGCTCTCGACATTATTGCCTGTTCTTTTCATGGAGATGTAAAATGCAATTGTATATGAGTCCAAAGTCATTATGCTTTTTCAAAAATGTAGTAAAGTGCGCACAAAGATTAAGCGTAGAGAGAACAATACTACTACCAGATTATAAAACAAAATTATAAATTTTCGATTAAAAACACACCTAAACGAAATATTGTGGTGTGGCTCGTCGAAACGGTATGGGATTAATTAACTAGTCATAAACAAACATCCTCGCTACTGTACGGTATAATTACTTTAATGTGCATTTATTTAAAAACTAGTTTTATAACTGTAAAATTTCTGCTTTCCTATCTCCAATCAATTCTAATGTCATTCCCAGAAAATCAAATAAATTTGGATTTAACACATTTAAAATTTGCTTACTCTTACCTAGTGATATCCCGCATGCGCTTTCACCATGAGGATCCCACTTATTTGACAATAATGGTATTATTATTATTATTATTATAATTTTAGACTAATGAAATAAATTCTTAGACTAAAAAAAAGACATGGTGCACTAGCAGCGCAAGCTATCGGCTCAATTGACCATAATATATTTATAACATTATAATAAAAACAACAACAATATTCGGGCAAAAAAAAATGCGAACCTTAATAATCCAATAATTCTCAATCAGACGTATTGTTGATGACAGGAAAAGGAACTTCAATCTCTAACTGGTTTGACGATAATGGGATCCGCTTTATCCGACCGGAAAATAATCGATCAACTGAACGAACACTATGCAGCAGGTTAGCCAAGATCGAAGAAACAGCGCCAAAATCGCTCAAAATTCAAGATGAGGTTAATTCGTTTCTTCGATTATCGTGGTATTGGGCACTATGAATTGCCACCAGGCCAAATTCTTAATAAGGAATATTATTTGAACGTCATGCGTCATTCGCAAAACGAGACCGGAATAGATTTAAAAAAAAAAAAATTAAATTGGTCTCACTTTTTGGAGGCAGTAGTACACTTACTTTTGCTTACATTTAACAAATTCGCATAAAAGTATCTTTTCTTCCATTTTTTGGTGTTTTTATACGGTACCCCGCAAACAATATAGGGTACAATAGGCTTACACGAATGCATCTAATTGTCAGAAAGACTTAAGATAGACCTTCATACGTTTTATTATGCAGATCGATGTAGAATAATTTTTTGAAACTATTTAAGCTTGTCTGGCTGGCCAAGTATCCTTGCGTTGCATTTACATGTTGCATATTTCTGAAAAATATTAACGAAATTTGGTCGAAATCGCATGAGCCAATTTTCTAAATATCGTCCCATAGAACTGTTCTCATTAAAGTTGGAAAAAAAATCAAAAAAATCCCAAAAATTTATATAAAAATCGATCAGCGCATCAAATTTCGGCCCTTCCCGTAAAGTCGTTGACATGAACCAAGGAAGCAATGTATAATATTTGATACTTACTTTACGGCGAAAGTAGGTGAAGAATGTTTAGAACTTTGACAACGTACATATGTCGTACACAAGCTTCCAAGAAAAGTATCTTTAATAACATTGCCGTAATAATTTTTGATATTTTACGAAAATGAATCAAGAATTGTATTGGTTAACTTTTATTTTTTACATCCATATAACTTTGGTGAATATTGAAATCAAATTCTCGAACCCAATTCCCTCTGGTCGCTCGTTAAAAACGCTTCAAAGTGATTAAATAAAATTTATCTTTATTTACACTTTAAATGCAACAGATTTAATGCACCTTATGAATAGGAACTAATACAATCTTACATACACTATAATATAATGAGCCAATGATATATAATACATTTCAAAATACTTTCACAAAATATACAATATACCGACAAGTAAGTTCTAAATTAAGTAAACTGCGAGAGAACTAAGAAAACTACATTCGTGTTTCAAGCAATCTTAAGTACCCACCATCTGTAGCTTATGCGTAATGATCCCATAAGGGACGGAATGAAGCAAGTGTGAATAATACATAAGCGCGACTACAATGTTCAATTCAATATTTATTGGCTTGCGTACACCTTTCTACGTTGGCTATTGCGACGAACTCCTGCAAAATTCAGGGATACAAACAACAAACAACTACAAAGGAATGGCTGAATAAGCAGAGGAGTCAGCGATATGTCAGACCAGCCAAACCGATAAGACGGATACATGAACAAATAGACATATTAACAATCGAACAAACGATAACACTGAGGGGCGAATGCTTGAACAGAAGAAACATACATAGGAAGCAGTTATTAGATATTTACAAAACTAATTATTTAAAATAAGAACTAAAATTAATTAATAACTAAATGTACTGTGTTAGCATTTTGTATATATTTGTGTTTGTATTTCTCAAACATTTCCTCCAAAGCTTCAATAACTTTTTGATGTATTTCGTTCACATATTGAGGGTCGGGATTATATGTTTGTTTGACCTCAATAGGAGAACCAACTGTAAGGAAAATTTTGAGTAAATTAAACTTTGCAATTATTGGATTTTGATTTCATTTTACTTACCCACTTGCACAATTTGATGACGCTGTGGAATAAAACCGAAATTATATTGAAAGAAACCGCGTCCGATTACAATGAGTGGCGATACGCCTGTTAATTCTTTAACAAATAATTGAAAACGTCTTAAACAGGAATCTGAAGAATTATTGACTTGGTCATATATGTCCACTTCTCCAAACGAAAATGAAGGAACTATAGCTGACCTAAATGCGAAAAAGGATGAAATGTCGCATCTTGTTACATTAGTAACAAACTTACCCTGTTCTAATGGCTACTTTAATAAACCCCTGACGACTTTTTATGGTCAATACATAATTACGCGGGTGCGAATCTAGCGATTCTTGAGCACCACCGACCAAAAGTGCCACAGCATTTGAAGTGAAACCGTCTTTATTGTGCGAATGCTCGGGATCATTTGATTTAGTCAGATAATAGATTAAAGATTCTTTCGAACACGATATCAGACCCCAAAAGCGTAAAATTTCACGCAAGAATGGTATATAAAAGTGCATATCTAAAGTAGCAATTTTTGGTCTTACACCGGGATAAAGTTGTAACCATTTACCGATATTGTTACCCATATTATTGGTAACGCCAGTTCTGTAAAAAAAGAAAAGACTAAGGACATTATAGTCGGCCAAGGCCGACTACATCATTTCGCCTAACACAGTTATTCACTCGTTTTGATAATAACACGCGAATACTTATGTGGTATAGAAAAAAAAAATTTACGCAGCCCAAATTCCGTAAGGTTGATTTCTATGTCAATTTACTGCTATGAAGTAATTTTCGCTACGGTATTTTAAAGATTCTATCTTTTATTATATAAAGATTCCGTTTTTGTAGAAACAGTTCTATGAGAGAGGGTGAAAAAAATTGCCCCAGTCGACCCAAAGTTTTTATATCAATTTGAAATGCTTAAATATTATTGCAGAGCGAGCTTTGTGGCGAAATTTGGAAAATTGCAATTTTTTTCCATACAACGACTTTTGTAAATAAAGCTTCACAAGACGAGTGCTCGATCGACCCAAGCTATTTGCATTAGCGTTCGACCTTGCTCCAAAGCACGCCAGCGCACCAAATTTTGATAAATACATCAAAACGGACAGACGGACAGACAGGCTTAAATCGAAATAGAAAATGATTCTGCAATGATTCTGAATCGATCGGTATAATAAAAGGTGTGTTTATCTTAAGCGCTTCTGCGTGTTAGATACTTCCGCTCATACGTAATATACACTGTACCACAAGTGGTGCATAAAGAGAGAAAGTGCGATTAACGTAGGAAGGTATAAGAGCTTTCTTTTCGTATGTCATCAATTTGTCGCCAATTATTTATTGCACTTACCCAATGACACCATGTGGGAAACATGCTAATATATAGTTACGATTTGGTTTTAATTCCGCTGTCTTAACAAGTTCAATGGGAAAGTAATCTCGCATATGTTTTGTAAGGAAGTTATTACGTAGCGGCAGCCAACTGAAAACAAGTCAAAAATAAAAATTATCTAAAATTCAATAATTAATATATAACTGTTGATAATCTTTTTCTTGTTCTTTTATTTATTACCCATTGCCATAAATATTGGAGAAATGTTTCTTATGATCATAGTAAATGAATGATAAATATAATAATAAAATCGCTCGCCCCATAAAAGACAAATAAAGCTGAAATATTCGCAAATTTGAAAGTTGTTCAAAATTAATAAGAAAGGAAAGATTTTCACTTACCAAGAAAAATATTGTTAAAAACACTGACATAAACGGTAAAAATAAAACAATATAAACGTATAAACCGGTAGCTAATGTTTGTAAACGACGCCGGGGTGGCATCTTGATGGGAGCCCATTCAATTTTCATTTTAATTTTAATTAAAAATTTCTCAATGTTCTGTAGTGTTCTGTTTGAATATTTTTACTCAACTAAGAGCATTGTAATCGCAGCTGAAATGTTTATGCCCATATTTTGTATTTTCATGAGATCCACAACAGGATTTATCGTCATAAAATAATAAATAACAAAAAACAAAAAGTTTTTCGTCGTCAAAACGAATTTCGAGTGCCTTCAATGGCTTCCTCTATTTCTTTTAATAAATATTGTATAGGTCAAAGCAAATCTACCGATAGAATTTCGTATCAGTTTGATATAGATGTCGGAGAATTAATACGCAGGAACCTGTGGTGACGTGCAATGGAAACAAGGAACTTTGGGAATTTCCTGCTTAAGCAACAACAAGTACTTAGGAATACAAATGCAGACATTGTGCCCTAAAAACCCTACATAATTACGCTTAATACAGTTACTCATGTAACGACTTTTTAAAATAAGGCTTCATATGGAAAGTGGTCGAAAGAATGTCCCGATCTAAACTATTTCGCCCTCATCTCAAAACTTGCGACTTCTATATTGAACGGAAGAATACAAGACCAACAGACATACAGACAGACAAGCAACGATTATGAATCAAAAAAAAAAAAAAAAATGGGTCTGCCTTGAGTCTGGCCCGTACGCACCCACACAAACTTAATACTTTATACTGCAAGTATTGTAGAAGATAATAACTTTGGCACTAAAACTATTTATGGAAATGTTTATCTATTAAACACAATGGCTTTAACAAAAATGGAATTCCAAGAATTTGAATTTGAAGCAATTGAAAAAATAAATTAATACCACTAAAGAATTAGATTAAATAGGAAAATACAAGATACACAGACGGACAGACAATCCACGATCTGGTAGAATCGTTGATGCTGGATTGTAAGCATGTCGGTGAACATGATTGGATAGTTCTTCTGAAATATTCTCCATAGGAACCCCCCTGTCAGTTGGAGAAATATGATATAAGTGAAGAAAAGAACTAAAGGGGAAAAACAAGAGTTTGTATGGAGAATTTGATAACAAAAGTCTTTATTGACGTATTTTACTTCAAACCTTAGATTTGAAATAACATCTTATGAGCCAAATTTTAAGCGTGCGCGCTAAAGTGTTTGTATGTAATGCTAAAATTCGTTTACGTTTCTGTTCGAAATGTTATCTATGCGCATATGTATGTAGATTAAAAAAGGCGATTATCAAAATTCCGACTTGGTTTTTTTTAGATACATTATCAAGCCTTATCAATCGATTACATGTACACATACACTTAATATAGAATGACGGCAATCTTTTCACTTCATCATAAAAGCAAAAGCGGTTTTCTATATTACAGTGTCGTATAAATACTCAATAGTAGTTTTCTGATTAGGGTCGCTCCACATCAAAATATCTTAAAAGTGACGGCCTATAAGTGCAACACAAGAAAACAAGACTTTAATATTCCCGTGTGTTGCTTATGTTCGCACGAATTTAATCTATCCTTGTACCACAAGTGATGCATTGTATAAAAAATTAACTTGTGGTACAAAGTTTGTACGGATATATGCAACACCTAGAACGATTGCCATACTAATCTAAGCTTGTATGACCGTCCGCCTTTTTTCATTCTTCTTTTTCTTATATTCAATCTATTCTTATATTCAATCTAATCGGAATTTTTGAGATATTTTAGTGAATTTCTATACTATTTTTATCCGTTTTCTTTTCCAAAAAACTAAAAACCAATTCCATTTAACACATTTTATACATCATTGTATTTAGATTCTAAAATAGAATATTTCCTTTACCATCAACACTGTAAGAAAACGCATACTTAACATTATATCTAAAATTGAATTGCATATTCCGGTGACAATGTCATAACAATGACTTCAACCTGATAATGTTAAATTTAAATAAATAGAATTTCCTCTCCCCCTCTGGCTTATTTATTTTTTTCAAGCTACAGACAAAAGCTGGGACTACAATTAATTGATTAATGAATAACGCATTGAATGACGTAAAATTTTCCCTTTGTGTATTTATTTCATAATAAGCTTTGTATACAAAAGCAGCGCCTTAAGTAAAGAATAACAAAATCTGGCAATAACAACATGTTTACATTACAGAAATAAAAATCGAAATTAACTCTGGATTGGGTACCGGAATGTATACACATATATATATATATATATATATATATATATGTATGGATAATATAACTTTCAAACTTTTGTTGAATTAAAATATTTGGTCTATATATAAATATATACCCTATATATGCCCTACATTTGTATATATAATGATTTACTTTATTATTCCAAGGCTTTATACAGTTTTACACAGAGCTTCATAACATTTGTTGAGGGCAACGAAAGCAATAAAATATTATTTTAATTGCACGCACGATCTCTGGTGTATAAATATGATGTTATATATTTCAATATTATTATACATATTTGTGTCTGTGCGTGCATTGACTTTCTCATTCATTGTAATTGAACACTTTTCAACGTTTATTGTTAATTATGGTTTGTTAACAATATTTTTTTTTAAACCGGTTAACTAATAGGCTTACAAAAGTAGGAAAAATGTTGTTTGTTATTAAATAATATAAAAAGACAATAAATAAATAAGTGAATAAAAATATTCTGTAATAAAACGTTCTAGTATGCAACGAATAGCGAGAACAAAACCAAACTGAATATTAATGATTTTCTATTTTACAATTTATTCCTATTACGCTTAAAGCAATTGAAAAGCTTCGCAATTCTGTACATTCAAAATTAGTCTTTCGATGGAATGAGTGTTTATTACGGAGATGGACTGGTTGTAGCGATTAGAAATATATGCACATCAAGAGTCATACCAATTTAATGCATTGACTCTACCTCTACCCGCCTTTAAGGTGCTTACAGAAGGATCGAGCCATTTTTTTGATTAATTTGAGCAATTGGGAACTTGCCAGTTCCAAGTTAAGTTAAGTTTAAACTTAATACCTACCGGTAGGTAATTAGAAACGCAGTACACAGTTGTAATTTTTGAAAGTGTAAAAGGGTTAACACAATAGCGCGTTATTCATTTTTTCGAAATGCGAGTTAAACTTTGACGACTTTTACGAGACCATTTTGAAGCTGATAAATATGAGTATGTATGCACACAAATATCATTTTCAAATGAAAACACTTAACACACTCCTTTGCTTTTGGGGTCCACTTATGTTGTAACGGCCGCGAACAAACCTTGGGTAGGGTGTCTGTCGGTCTGTGTCAACCGCAAGCGGCGCAATAACGGCATGCCGTTAGACAAAATCATGCGATTTTGTGGTACCGCAAGTAAATCGCATGATCTTGCGGTATATGTGTTTATTTTTTTCCTTTTTGATCTCCTTATTTGCAAGTACAGGCAGAATCGTATGATTTTGCGGTACCTTTGCTTGCTTTTGCAAGTACAGGCAAAATCGTATGATTTTGCGGTACCTTTGCTTGCTTTTGCAAGTACAGGCAGAATCGTATGATTTTGCGGTACTCCTTTTTTTTTTCCTTTTGCTCTTGCAAGCATAGGCAAAATCGTATGATTTTGCGGGATCTATGCTTGCTCTTGTGAGAGTAACGGCAAGCCGTTATAGAGAGAGAGCAACAGGAAGAAGAAGAGGGAAATGAAGTAAAAAGGAGAAGTCTGTCTGCGTTTCAAAAATTGAAGTCAGAGGGGATAGTTCTGAGTTGAAGTCAGTCGGAGTCAGGCTCTCGCTGAGTGCGGTTCTTGTTATTTACAGCAGTTCTGTTAACATTTCACATAGTACTTGCCTTTTATTGTTGTGTGTTTCAGTGGTAACAGCAAAAATGGTGTAGAAAGAAATATGCTTTTGTTAAT